ATGGCTTGTTGGTTTAAGGAAACTAGCGTGAAAGCAAGCATATGCATATCCAACCAGTAGCGCGCGGAAAGCTGCGTTAGGACTTCGACGTGCGTCAGGAGGATTCCTCGATGCGGATGGTGCCGTAAAACAGTCGGTGGGAGTTGGCAGGTTTTTAAGAAATGAGAACTGCTGCACACGTTCAAGGATGTCGTTTTGCTGGGTTGCACGGATTCAGCCTACTTGATGATTGCCAAACATAACTGTCCCCACTACGATACTACGCAATCAAAATTTAACCAACCCAGCAAAACTGCAAGGATCGATCTAATGCCATGCTTACCGACGCAAAACCATGGGCTTGCAGCTTCTCTCATAGCGTTTGATTTCAAGTTGGGTTATAACTCACCCACAGCGAGTGGCATTGATCCCGCGTGGCTTGGACTATGGCTTGGAGAACAATCTTAGACTAAGAGGAACCCCCTGAAGTAGTTCATGTTCCATGCAAAGAGGGGGAAGTCCTGATTGGCACGGTCCTCCGGAATCTGAAGTTGCCATGCATTGCATCCTGCTTGCAACCTATGTTGTCTCAGGGTGTGTTTTTAACACATATGTTGCTGATATTATGATGCGCGTGTGTTTTTTGTTCACCTCCACATTGACAAGAAACAAAGAAGAACCTGTCAAACAATCAGACATTATCCGCTAAACAACAACATAAGCACGTCAAGCGTAAAACAAATTGTAAAACAGCGCCGTAAACAGGTCGTAATAGACAACACATACCCTCCCACCAACTATCATAGAAGTGCAAAAAGGCCCAAGAGGAAAGTAGTCTTTCTACAGGGGTCTGTCCACTTCCATGTTAGCTACATGTTAGCTGGGAGGGTATTCTGCGCCAGGTTTCACATTTGTTTGCGCACATGGGTGCAAGTGCGAATGCTGCCTGGCAGAAGGCCACAATGACACGCGCTTGCCGGCAATTGGTGACGCGCATCTCCGGACCCTCCATGGTTGGCTCCCTGATTTGCCTTCCAACCCATCCCAAAAGCAGGTCTTGAACCTCCTCCTGGCAACATACCCAAATCCCCCAAGAAAATCCCAGCATTCAGGCGTTCATTACCAAGAATAGGATGATTCCCCTGTAAACACCAACAATCCATGGTTTCCTATGGTTTGAAAGTGCAGGATTTCGTCCATCCACAGTTTATTCGCCAAATATTTGTCTAGGTACCCCAGTAGTGCCCTTTTTACCTTGTTTTTAGGGGGAGGGGAAACCCCTACTAAAACAGACTACGGAAAAAAAAGTGGGTGCCAGGACCTAGTTTTTGGTGCATTTTGCTTGGATGTTAGAACTTTATTTTTTTGCCAACTAATGGGTTTTCCGTGTTAAACCACTTTGAGTTAAAGACTTTTAGCAGGGGAGCAGATTTCGCCACCGAGTAGTTGTCATCTAACACCAGAGCGACGCTTCTCCTTGAGCCGCTCAAGCCGCTTACGCCAGGCAGATGTCCGCGTACAACTGGCACCCAGGACTCGAGGCCGAAAAAGGATGGGCCGGGAAGGACACCTGGGGTCTCCCCAAAGACGAGTGCTTTGGGTAGACATGTTTGGTTTGTGGTTTGTTGTTTTGAGTTGGTTTTGGAGGGTCTGTGCTTCAAGGGAAGCCAAAAGGAAGTAGTTTGGGGTCCTTTTAGATTTGCAGGTAGACTATTTATGACACATAAGGATGAATTAATCACTTTGCTACTGGCTGTCAATACTCTTGTCACTTGGTCACACAACTTCAATTCATTGGGGGGGTTCATGTATTTCAAAGAAGATATCTCTGTTGCCCAGTGGTGCCCTTTTTTCTTTTTTTTGGGGAAGGGTTCCCCTTTAAACTCAAGCAACAAAGGAAGGGCGCCGATTCTGTTTTTTTGCTGGAAATCCACTGGGCATCTGTTCGCTTGCCCGGATTCTCATGCCCAAACTTAAGAGGTGGATCAAGCTTCTTAGGTTTTGCGCTCGTTTCCCCATGCCTGGGACCAGCCGAAAACCCCTCACTGTTCCACTAGATTCGTCCTTTGGCCCACGTTGCTTTTCAGGGTCTTGGGAATCCTGGGAGGTTCTGGCAAGAAGCTGCTGAAAAAAGTGAGATTCGGTTTTTGGGGCTTTTGGCCTGGTTCAGAAAGGGCAGCGTGTTCCAACGGGCCACCATTTTGCGGGGCTTGCCGCGGGTGTTTCTTTGGTGCAAAAGTGGGGGGTGATTGTCTGTGGTTGGGGGTGTGCAGAACTAGCTTAATTGCAGTTCTTGCTCGGTTCTTCTCAAGGAACACTGGAAGAAATCACCAACCATGTTTTGCAGGGAGCAACTTGCTTTTGCAATGGGGATGTCGTAATTGTTCAGCCCCAATTTTGGGGACACTCACTTCAGAATCTGGCTGTAGGCAATTGCTTGGGCAAGTCTGCACGTTTCATTGACCATTCTTAACACTTCACGTGAATCCATGAGCTGTCTTTTTTGTTTACTCGGTCACTTTTCGAGGCGCAGAGTTCACTTCATGGTGAGCTGACGTTTGTTTGTCTTGGGCCAGGGCTTGGACTTGGGCCAATCCACTCAGTGCGATTGGGCGTTGCGTTGGGAAAGTTTCAACGGGCTCACATTCGGGAAAGTCAAGCTGGCTCAGGTAGCCCGGCCTGCTCCTTTTTTTTTCTGGTTGTGAACTTGGTGTCTGTTTTGTTTGGGAAGCCCTTTTTGGCGGGCCTTAAAGGGGATGAATAAGGAAAAAAAGGAATCCAACCATTTTGGAGGTTCTCCTATGTTGAGATACACCCAAATGTATGCCCAGATTCCTTGTTGCAGTTTCTTGAACGATCAATGATTATATGTGTTTCCCTTTGCCGGGACCGGATTGTTGATGGAATATAGTTTCCCAATTACGCGGGTCATGAATGGTATATCGGTATATCCCTGATTTTACTGGCCTGGCTACCTGACTGCGGGATACAAAGGGAACCGGACTCGGGCAAACCTTTGGGTCCGACGCTTGATTTCACTTGAGCAGCGCCAAAATACATTGCACCTTGTTCTACTGGGATGAGAAAGATATATGGGGTCTATATGGTTATTGAAATCCCAACTAACCAGGTAGTAACCGACTAAAACTGCCAATATGGGTTTTGGGCGCTCACTTGGTGTTTTCTAGGGGGTGATTTGCGGGTAGTGAAACTGGGTGACCGTTTGGTGATGTTATTTGTTTTTACCAAAATAAGGATGCTGGGAAGGTTTGAACTCCTAGGCTTCAGTTTGATTCATAGGGTGTCCCCTTTTAGTGGAAATTTCTTACTTTTTGAAGGTGACAAGTTCCAGGATGGATGCTGCTTATCTCCGGGGGTTCGGGGGTTCGCCACAGGGCGATGGCGGACCTCGAGCCTCCACAGCCCCCAGCTCAGTATGACGGTGTGGCCTTCCGCGCGAAAGCAGATGCCACCAACTCTTCTTGTGGGGTTTCCAAATACTTGGTGGCTCCCAGCCATCCGGTTCCTTAGCGGTTTAGCCTTTTTAGTGTTTAGTGGGAAGGACGATTTCGAGGACCGCCCAGTAAAAATCAAACTGGAGAGAGTGCCATCTATGTATACAAAAGTGAAAGTAACATGACCAGTTACGAGTTTGCCAATGGCGAACTTTCGGGTTTGGGGTGAGGTATGTAAGTGATTTACTGGGAGATTCCTCATTTAAAGTTTTGGAATTGTACAATTTGCAGATATGAGTTGCACAATGATTGATAGAATGGGGATGAAGTCCCTTATATGTGTGGGTATCTACGTGCGTCCAACTTGTGAATAGTAACTTTGATCAGAATGTCCTCTTTTCAATCGGGAAATTACATTCCCCACTAAATAGGAAAAGTGACCCATGGTTGTTTGGGGGCCAGGAATATTGATCAACCCATATATTTGTATAATTTATCTATATAATACACACGGAGCCGATCTTGGGTCCAGGGTGGCACGGCGCATTGACAGACCACGCCTGATTCAGATGCATCCAAGATGTTTGTTGTACATTTGCAAAATCACCTGAAGAGCTTGATAGGTGTTGTTAGACATGTTTTTTAGATGTACTTCGGCTTGCATCCATCTTCCAACTTGGCAAATGAGCGTGTGGTGAGCACGGGCATGTGTTTGGCAGGAATCCTCCCATGCCAAGCGCCGACTCCTGTACCTGACTGGTCCTGGACGACCGTTTCCTCTGAAAAGGGGTGGTAGCAAGGTCAACAGGCCCTTTTCGATCCTTGGCACCCAACAATCAACCGAGAGCCCATGAGTTGCTTTAACCCATACTTTTTGTTGGTTTGACTGGACCTCTGACAAATATGATGCCGAATGATCTCACTTCGCCGTTTCGACAGGTAAAGTGAGCCGTGAAGCTTTATTAGCTTGGTGCTCCGCTGATACCAGACTGCGACCTTCCTTGAGACGCAATGGTTCCACGTTGAGCGAGCAGAACTGGTGTTGATGAAGGTTACGGGCGACCATGGCGACCGTCCAAACAGGAATGGAAGCAGATGCTCTCTTGATTGTTTGTGGGTCTTTGGCAGAGTTTTTGTTGTCTGACTCCAGTGACCATTTCAGCTGGTATCATGTGAAGCACGGCAGCCAATGGGCCAGTTTTTGGAGATGGGGGTGGCAGCCGGTTGAGTTGAACTGGCCTTAGCTTTAATGCGCTGCAAGAAGACAGCACGCTGAAAAATGACGCATCCTGGAAAAGACTGGCTGACACAAGCATAGAGCTCAGTGCTTCAAGCATGGGTGGAACAAGACTCAGCAACATGCCAGGTTAAGGCGTGGTGCAGCTGGAGCAGTGGTTGTTTGCGGGGTTGGACAGGTGCAGACCTGATGGACGAAATCCGCTTCGCATTATATAGTAGGCATGAAGAGCTATTAGCCAGCCACTGCTGCAGGGTGTTGTCCACATGACCCCGCCACTCACAGAAGCAAGATGGGCCAAGTGCGGCTGCCCGCTGCTTTGGCTGGAAAAGCGATAGCCGACGTGTAGAAGTAGTCGTTTGGGGCGCAGCAAAATGGACTTCATGATGATGGGGAGGCGCGAACCGCACCACACTTTCTCTCACACCCTGAGTTTCTCCGTACTTTGAGAAGACGTATTTTAGGTGTTTGAACAGGAAACCAAAAGCAATCCAACCAGATGCAGAAGTACTATATTGTACACCCGTTTGGTGGTTTAGGAGCTCCACTACGTGCGGTAACTTGCGTGACGTGTGGGGTATGTCTTGCAAGGGCATGATTACCTTGTTTCTGGCGAAGACCCAATCGCGCAGGTGAAACAGAGGATCCCCTGTGAGACGGAATGGGTCAAAATTTGTAGTTGGACCCCTCAAAATGGCAGTTGTCCTTTCGTGTTTCCATCAAACAAGAGCCTCAAAACAAAACGTTTAAAACACACCCATATTCTGGGTCAACGTTTGGTAACATCTTACATCTTTGCCCTGAACAAAACTGCTGAGCAAAGAACGTTCGTCCAAGACCCAGGTTGAACCACCAGGTAAACCAGGAATCGCCCTCGATTTTTCAACCAAACCAACCAAACAGGACACCTATGTGCACAGGGGGAATCCGGTCGGTCAAACAACTACCAGGGCCATCTATTTTCAACCAAAAAGGACACCTATGCGTGTGCACCTCGATCCCTCGGTCTCGCCATTAAAGCTGCGCCGGATTCCGAAGCCTCGCCTCAGGCCGCAGGCCGAGGAGTTTGTGCGCCACGTGGAGGAGGGCTGCCCCTACCGCTCCGACGATGTCATGCAGCCGGAGCAGGCCGTGTCCACCGGAACGCGCCAGCCCCAGACGCGAGGCGACGCAAAAGACTCGGGGGAGTTGTGGAAACGACAGAAGCTGATGGTTGGAAGGGAGCGGTTGCACTGGGGGTATCCAAGTTTGCCCTGCTGTAACAGGGTAGAAAAGAACTACTTAAGAATTACCACCCCCAAAACAGGGCCCAATACGAGCAATTCTTTTGAACTTTGACCCATTGAGGCCTTTGGAAACCGGAGGAAGGTTCAATCGGGCGGCACCGGCGGCAGTTGTCTGGTTTCCTTTGGGTCCTTGCTGTTTTTCCTGGGCTGGCATCTCAGGCCAGCCGAAAGCAAATGGACAACGCCAGCAGGTGATTGTCTCCAACGAAACAACTATCAGGGAGGTGGTTTTGCGCACGCTTCGAATACCACATATATATTTTGAATTCCTTCCTGAAACACGCACATCGACTTGTGGGCGACAAAGGAAGTACCTGCTGTATGCTTTATGAAGAGTGCGTGCTAGCCCCTCATAGCATTTGGAAGGCGGATAAAAAGCACGGCCATTCCAAAGTGAGTCGGCATTTGTGTAGAGCCTTGTGCTAGCAATGTTGACAAAGTCCCATGATGTCCCATGTTTGCTTTGCCTTCAACGTTGGCCCCTTTCCCCAATTTGTCCAACGACTTGGGCAAGTAGCATCTACGCTTCTGCTGATCAGAATGTATTGACGTGCCTTGTGGGATTTGCTTGCTTTGAGGACTGTTGTGTTATGTGGTTTGCTGAAAAGTACACGTCCTTGACCCCCTAACCTGAAGTTCGTCAGGACAATCTTCGTGTGCGAATTCGACGGCGGTGTGATCATGGGTGCAGACACGCGCACATCAACAGGCTCGACCAGCTGTGTTGCTCCAGCAGAAGCCTCGAAGGACTCCAGTCATGCCTTTTGTTTTTTGCTTTTTCAGAATGCAGGGCGATCCCCGCACCAAAGGCCTTCTCATCTTGAATTGACAACCAGAAGGTGATGGGTAAAACCACCCAAGGGGGAAAGTATAGGGAACAGAACACGGCAATGGAGTCTTCTTTTGACACTCTAGCACTGCCTGTCTTGGCGAGGGGGGAACTCAAATCGCTCTGGGACAACTGAAAAAAGTCGCCGCAAAAGCGATTCCTGTTGGAAAAAAACCTTTTCGCTTGACGGACTGAAGTTCGGCAACCTTACCCATTTTTTTCTCTTTACAGGAACCCAGGAGAAAGCATCATGTAACTGGTGCGAGAGTGTTAGGCGATATTTGGACCCCAGCGGTTTGGCTCATGAGGCTGGTCATCCTTTTCACCTTGAGTCTAAAGGGGGGCTTCAGGGGCCTGGGAAACCAATCTTTTTGAGGACACCTTAGTTCGGGCTTCTTTCTTGAGGACACCTTTTTTGAGGAAACCAATCTTTTTGACACAAGAGGGGTGGGGTTCTTAAGGTCCTTTTTGCATCGCGGCGATGAAAGCCCAATCTGCTCTGAGCCCTCGCCAAGGATAGAGCCAAACAAAAATGCAAGGCCGCCAAACCCGTGTCCGCTCGATGGAATTCAACTGGCTCCGACTTGAGACGGGGGCTGGCGGCGAGCCTCCTGACGAGCTATGATCCACGTGGCGTGGTTCTGCTGGTTTTGTTCCAGCGGACAAGGGGCGTGGAGTTGCTGACGGACTCGCTTCAGCTTGCCCAAGAGCATGGCAACGCCATGCTGTTGCCAAAAATCTGGCAGGTGCTAGGGAGCTCTTCAGCAAGGTACGTTTGGCCCATGGGTGACTGTAGTCTCACCTGTAACGTGAGTCAAAAGCTCCACAAAGTAAGCGACCCATAATGTTAGCAACATTATGGATTTGGGGAAGCCGGGTCAATGAGTCAAAAGAATGGGCGGGAACCTCCAAAATGGGAAGTGTCCATTTGGGTGTTGCTAGAAGCCACCAAGTCCAAGAAAGACCCAAATAACAGCGCCCCGAACCTGTTTGGTTCTACTGATACTGGGATTTTCATTGTTGAAGGTTCGTCAAGTATGGACCAGAACGAGACACATAGTATTTAATGGCCTGCGGCCTGGTTCCGCCGCCCCCACACACCTTAGAATTTCGGCCCGGGACGAGAGAAAGCACGCGATATGTAGACAGACACAGACAGACACAAAGACACGCAGACAGACACGCAGCGGGGGGGGAGGGTCTTCGCGGACACGAAGACAGACGCAGATGCGCAGGCAGACGCAGACAGAGCCAGACAGACACAAAGACACGCGGGGCGGGGGGGGGACACGAAGAAAGACGCAGATACGTAGACAGACACAGACAGACACAGACAGACACAAAGAGACAGAGACAGACACGCAAGGGGTCTTCGCGGACACGAAGACAGACGCAGACAGACCCAGACAGACACAAAGAGACACAGACAGACACGCAGGGGCAGGGGGGGTCTTCGCGGACACGACGGACACGAAGACAGATGCAGATACGTAGACAGACATAGACAGACACAGGGGGGGCGGAGGGGTGGGGGAAGACTACCCGAAGCCTAGGGAAGAAGCCCGAAAGCCAGGACACGCGCGTTGTTTGGTCCCGAAACAGTATCGGAAGACTAGGAAGAAGAAGCTACGGGAAGAAGGAAAGATTGCGGAAATTTACGGGAAGAAGCTTGAAAGATTTCGGAAGACTACGGGAAGAAGCCGGAAGACTACGGAAGACTACGGAAGACTACGGGAAGAAGCCGGAAGACTACGGAAGACTACGGAAGACTACTGGAAGAAGCCGAAAGATTACGGAAGATTTACGGGAAGAAGCCGGAAGACTACGGAAGATTACTGGAAGAAGCCGAAAGATTACGAAAGATTACTGGAAGAAGCCGGAAGACTACGGAAGACTACGGGAAGAAGCCGGAACACTACGGAAGACTACGGAAGGACTGGGGGGGGGGAGGTGGGGGAGGGGGGGGGAGGGGTGGGGAAATCCAGAATTCCTGAAATCCAGAAATCCAGAGATCCAGAAATCCAGAAATCCAGAAATCCAGCCGACGTAGAAACCAGCCCCAAGGGCCGCCCCAAGGGACATATAGGTATATATATATATATATACATAATCATATTCACATTAAACTTATAGAAAGCATATCAACAAAAGCAACACAGAACACACCGCCCCCATGCCGAAAGCATGGTCCATTCTGGACCAGGCATGGGGTCGGCGGATTTCCCCATCACATCACGTTTGGAGATTTGGTCACACATTGACTGGTAGTCAATTTTGTTGTTTTCTCCGGTGTGTGTGTGTGTGTGTGCGTATGTGTGGAGGGGAGGAGAACTTGCTGAAGTTTCCACTGGAAGCAGGGGAACGCAAACTACTTGTCCCATGTTCTCTTTCGGAAACACCCGTAGTTTTGCCGCGGCTCATCGTGCCAACGCCAGGCCAGTATGTCGCCAACCGAGCGTCTAGGAAGATTTCGACGGCCTTGGGGGGGGGAGGGAGTTGGGTGGTGTCTAGTTTTGAGATTACCCGTTTTGGGTTGTTGCAAATGCAAACCCATTGCAGAAACTTCCCTTTTCCGGATTCCGATTTGAAAAAACCCAGATGAGTGTGTGTGTGTGTGTGTAATTAGTTGCCCCTTAACACTACATATATATACACAATATATTAATATGTAGAAACATATGGACACTGAATGGATCTTACATGTCCCCATTCCGCGGAATTAGACATTACCTGTTTGCCTGCTTTCAAGTGAGTGTCCGTTGAGTGGGACCCGCTTTTAGGATTATTCTTGGCCTGCATCCTCTAAGTCCACTGGCGTTTTGGAGGGGGGGGGGGGGGGGGGCAAGAGGGCATTAGTATGTATTATGTGACCGGGCAGGTTTGTCAGTCTTCCAAAGTCGTGTTTTTGTTTTTGTTTCTTCAGTTTTTGCAATGATGTCAATGGTTAACCGGTAATCTTCCTGCAGTCTTTCCTCAGTCTTGTGGTCCAGAATAAACCCCTGGGACCTGCCCCCTTGATTTGTTTCATTTGTTTCATGTGTTTCATGTTTTTCAAAAGAATGAGGAAAGACTACGCGAAACAATTGGAAACAATGAAACTACAATGACTACGGACTGTTCACTTGTTTCAATTAGTTGAAATAATTGAACACCATGAACAAATACAACACGGGAACAAACACGAACACATCAAGGGGGTGCTCGTACCAATGCTTTACCGAATATGAAGCACCTGTGCAGAAGAGAGTCGCGCTACTGACATGCATCCGCGATTGCAACCAAGAGAAGTTCTTGAATCATTTCAGGCAGATGTTCAAGTATGCTCTTGTGGAATACTCATTGCTCAGCAAGTATGCTCTTTACTGGCACAGGGAAACACAGTGGAAGCAGCAGGCAGCAGCTAGCTCATCTGCTGGAATGCCCAGAGTCGGACTACTTGCAAAGTGCCACAGTGACAAGCAAGGAAAGATGGCAGGTGCTACGAACAATCGTGGAGGAGACTTCGACACACATGCCGATGCGCCAACGCGGCCTGTCTACCTGCCCGGAATGTCGCCTTTACGCGGTGATCATGGCCTGGACGACGCAGGCGGAGTTGCTCAAGCCCCTAAATGCTCAAAAGTTGATGCTGGTGTAGCGCAGAAATCAAAAGCTTGGCTGCAAACACACCAAGAGAACATGCTGCATGTGGGCAAAGCACGCGATACTCAAATTGCTTCAGGCTTTGGGCATGCTTCATTGCCCGGCGCTGAGGTACGGTGCTGACATAGGCGAAGGTGCCAAAGCTACGCAAAGTCATCCCGAAGCCAGGCAAGATGACCGCTTCTTCGTGGCGCTCAACACTTTCGTGCGACCGTGCGGGCTAGAAATAGAGGACCTCAATAAGATGAACGGAATTCGTTTTCCATTGCCAGATGCTTACTGCAAATGGCCGCCAAAAGACATCCGTAGGGAACGGACTGAATTTCAAGAAGTATCTTGGCCTCATATGGATTTTGGGCGTGCAACTAAAGGATCGGTCACTGACATGGTGCATCGTTATGAAGAGCCTTCCATGCAGATGAAGTCATCGGGGCCACTTTGACAAAGACTGTTCTGCGTCCCGTGTTGACGAGACAACTTGTTTGTTAGAATACGTTGTTTTCTTACACACCGACGTAGGAAAATGATGCGGAGGGCCCGCTGGCTACGAGAGCGGTATGAAGCACCCGAATCCTGTACCCTATGACAGCGGACGAGACCAAGACGATGCGGGCGCAAAACACGAAGCGCGTGGCCAACTGCGAACTTGGTGCATGCGCAGCGCGAGTGTTTTCTGAACGGTGGTTTCGGGGATGATATCTTGTCTTCCGATGAAATGAAACTGTTTTCTGCATTCTTACCTTCGACGCCACCTGTCATTGCTTATCGGACAGAGTGGGCAATCTTCGGAGAAGAGGCGCGCTTTGCAGGTACGATTGACTTCGTGGCCAAGCCCTGATGGACAGCCGCTGTCGCACTTACCATCTTGTTCAGGCTACGCGTACCGCTGCTACAAATATTTGATGGAGAAGTACTATGCATCTGAGGTCAGGGCGATGTTCGCTGTTGAGCTGCATCCTGACAACTGGCCGGAGGCTTTCGTGGACAATGCTCCTATCACAGGCGATGAAACTGAACAGATGATGTTGACGCAAGGCGCCTTGCTGCTGACTACAAGGCTGGCAGTCCGAGCCCGAACGCAGCAGAACCCGATGAGCGTCTGAACTCTATGGCCGGGGCATGGCTCCGGGCGGTGGAGCAACAGAATGCCTTGACAAGCAAAGCCCCGGCTAGTGTTTTGATACTTCCATATCCAATGGACGTGCATATGCCTAAGCGGACGAAGCCTTTCTGCGCCTTAATTATCGGTTCGCAACAAAGAAGCGTTATGCGTGTATACCACTGGTTACTTGGGAGCGCTAGTGTTTAAACAATCAGCGTGTTGCGCAACAAAAGAGAGGTGACAAAGTGGAAGAGCCACTGCTACCTTTTGATGCATGATGCAGCGCAAACCAAGACAAGGTCTACGCAGGCACGCGTAAGCGACCCGCCCCTGCAGAGAAAGGTTTAGACGTGTCACCGAACTGAAAACATGGAACGGCTTTCACATTAGAGCGTGCGCGCGGTGTGAAGCAAACGGGTGCTCCATTTGCGAAGGCCGGCTGCAAAGTAGCTGGCTATTGAAAAGCCTTATCAGCCGGAAGTTGTTTGATACCGCTTGAACTTCAATTTCTTGAAATGTTAACGTGTTTAAGATGTTTGACATAGCTCTTTCTTGTAATCATCTGCTCCGCGGCTAGTTTTTAATTGTTTCCAGGACGAAAAGAGCACGCGATGCCGTAGCGAAAAGCGAGTTCCTGCTGCTGTGCGTCTGAGTTGGTGCCTTCATGTATTGCTCGGGGAGGATGTAACGGACCGTGCAATGGCGGCGCTGGGCTCGGACAGATACCACTGTGAATAGTTAAGGAAGATGCTGGTACCTGTCCTCCCGCGCACAAGCGCGCGCATTCACATGCCCCCCCCCCCCCGAGACACACACGTGCGCGCACTCTTGCATGAACCGATGCAGCCTGAACATGTCGGATTGTGGTTGTTACGAGAGACATGCATGTTTCAGGGAGGCATATGTTTGGATGGCAGGCAGGCCAGCACGCAAGCAGGCAGGCAAGCAAGCAAGCAAAAATGCAGGCAGGCAGGCAGGCAGGCAGGCAAGAGGCAGGCAGGCAAAAGGCGGGCAGGCAGGCAAGAGGCAGAAAAGCAACAGGCAGGCAAGAGGCAGGCAGGCAGGCAAATAAGGACATGCTATGTTGCAATATGACTGCATAGACATGAGGGACCTTGTCCTTCTTTTCAGGAATCTAAATGCTTAACCGCTGGACGCAACCGTGTACTCATTTCAATATATGGCCCCATGAGCCACTGCAGCTGACGGAGGTTAAAAGAAGACTAAAATGGGGGGGGCGGGGGCGGTGGCATTATACGTATTCTTCCCCGCCACTCCGGGGCAGCAGAAGTCGGCATAAGTATCTGAAAGCTGGCTGGCTTTTACGGAGACGAACAGTTGCCCATACCGCAGACCAAAGAGCAAGCACACATGTAGGTATTTCACCTTTAAGTTGGTTTACAAACCACTTGTCGGACAAGTTTCAATTGAGTGTTCCCTTTTGGGGTGATGCTCAAGGATGTTTTCGGGGGTAATTAGTAGGGGACTTTTTGGTGGACATCATTTGCATGATTGGCTTTGTTTCCACCATGGTAGAAATGACGTTGGCTCTTTGACCGCAGTGGCCGATGAAACGTTTTGAGGGGAATGCCAGCAGTTTCCAACCACCAACCTACCAGATAAAACTTGCCTTGCTTCTTGCAGGGGTTAAAGGCCAAACCATTCATGAGGATGGGTACGGGTGTGGGAGTTGTTCGCTGTTGGGGGTGCTCAATGAGGGCAGCAGTGGAGGGCTGTGGACATGAAAAGGCAAAAGCTAATGAGGTGGTTGCTTTCACGCGCTGGAACTTCTTATTGCTCCAGAGGCAACAGACGTCGTCCAGGATGTAGTTATTCGCATTTTGATTGGATGTTAAATGTGTGTGAATTGTGTTACATTCTAAATTTACTAAATCACGTTTCCAGAATCTTCAAATTCTAAATTGCATGTCGGGTTGAACACAAAGCTGGGGTAGTTTTGGAAGTCCAACTCAAAGTGTGTGCTTCCAATGCGGTGATGTTTTGCAGGTTGGGCTTTGCTCAGATTGAACAATGTGTTGCTTCTCAGAATCTAGAGCATGACTGAGGATGAAGCTTAGATCAATCAGTCTGCTTTGTGAGCCTTGCATATCTGAGCAAGCAGCCTTCCCCCCAAAAAAGGTGTCCGGCCATGGTCCAGCCATGAAGGTTCCCTTGGAGTCCCTTGCCTCAGCTTGGTTTTCGGCATGTACCCGGATTTGAGGCAGAGTTGCCATGCTTTCCCATGGTTTTGAGGGATCCGACCTAAGATCGCACAAGGAGAATCAGCCGCTTGGAAGCGAAAGATAGTTGAAACCAATGGGAATCCAGGCAAGGGACCTGGGGTTGCCTATGGAAACCTGATAGAGAATTTATAATGCTATTTAAATCCATTTGATTACCCATTTGTGTGTGTTTGGCTCTCTGAAATGCAGAGGTTCCTATTGGTTCCCCTTTAAACCATCAACCGGCCTCGATTTTGAGAAACGTCCATCTTCAGATTGCCTTCCATCCTGCAGGTCTACGACAAGATTTTCGTGTGCCGATGCGGCAGCGCGGCTGACACGCAGGCGAAGTCAATAGAGACGCGAGTCGCTGACACGAGTCCTCTTCCGAAGGGACAAGCTTCAACAAAGCGCCGCACTAATATTTTGGGGTTGCCTCAAAAGGAATCGAACCCCCCAAAGCAGCTGATGTTCTCTATACAGAGAAGGATAGCCGCGCATGAGTCCTCTTGGTTTCCCCTTAGAATCACGTCTAAGATTCGAAGAAAAAAAAAGGAGTGCAAAGTAGCCAATCGAAACACCAATATGAGTCGCTGACAACGTTTGGCTTGGGGAGCACGGAGGCACATCACACCTTCACCAAAACCCAACGCTTACCGATTTGTTTTGGAGAAATGGGAAAATTTGAGGCATGAGGTTCGATCAGCGTGAATGTTGTTTTGTTTTTTTGTAGGGGGGTAGTGGTGTGTGACGGGAAACCAAATGGATATCCACCACTTGTTGGGGTGCCCCTTTTATGACGCATACCGGAACCCATCCTCATTGTTGGAACGTCATGCTTCCACAGAGTTGCTGTCATGGCAAATCTTGTGAAAATGCCGGGGAACCTTCCTTTTGACCCTCTGGTTGGTTTTTGAAGCCAAAAAGGAACCTAGAGGGGACAGCGTTTCTGAAAAAAGCTCCGTACTTTTGTGCGGTCAACACTCAGTCCATGGTCTCCCATGGCCCGGGTGTGGCTCGCGGCCGCGTCCCCCCCTCACGGCTCATTTTTCCCTCCGGAAAGTCGCAATGTTCGAGTACAAAGGTCGGGCTCAAACGCCGCAAAGTGCACCAAATGCACTTTCGCAGCCGCTCGAAAGTCAGACTTTCTCAGTACAAGCAAAGTGCACATGCACTTTCGCAACCCAGCTGGAAAGTCGCAACTTTCCAGCACATAGTTTAGAAAGGTTCTCCTTGGTTCATGGGTTCGGAACTGCCCACTGGCAGGGATCACTGGTGCCATCTGAAACGTATCGCTCTGTGGCTGCGGCTGAGTTTTCACAAACCGGGGGCTTGCACTGCCTTTCCACAGACGCGAATCTAGCAGTTCAGCAAGTGCCGTTTGGGAGTGCGACATGCCAATCTTGCGTCAGGCTACCGCTCGCCAAGTTCTGGGGATGACGGCAAATGTGCAGCACATGCTTTATTGCTTCGGCACAGCCACATGTTTCAATCGTAAGGAAGGTCTGATTCAACAAGCCCGCTCTTTGTGCAAAGCAGTAGCTACAGACAAGCCACTCTTCATCTAGAACCTTCACAGGCCTCAGCAAGGGTGTCGCTCCTCACGGCTCTTTCTGTCGCTACACACACGTTGTTAAGCATGTTATCATGGTTCGACGAAACAACCCGACATCGCGAGTTTTGATCTTACACCTTTGGGGTCAATAGTTGCGAGAGGTCACAAAGCATCCCTTGAGAACATGCAGTCGGGGCTCATTTCCGGCAGGTGTGCAGCCCTTGCATGCGGGATGAACAGCTCCTTGAGTCAGAAAGACAAAGCAGGGACTAGCAGGTGGATGACTTGCCATTGAAAGCAATTCCCCCACCTTTGCTCCTAGTCTCCCGCTCATTGAAAGGCGGCAACAGATCTGTGGCGATCGCGAGCTACACAAGGGGTTACCCATGATGATGATTCCTTTAGCTACACAAGGGGTTACCCATGATGATGATTCCTTCTTTGCGATCCCTTTTATATTTTGGTGAATGTAGCAGTCAGATGCAGTCAGTGCAGGTGACATCGGGGTCTCAAAAGTGACAACCTTTTGCATGCAAAGCTCGACAACCTTTTGCAGGCGTTTAACCACTTCACGGTTTGTTTGATGCTGGTTCTGAGCTGTGCGACCACTCAAAGCGCGGCTTTGAGGCGGGGTGCTAAAGTAGAGAGACCATTCAAACTCAAGCTGCAAGCGCCAAAGCAAGCCAGCTTTTGAAAAAAATGAAGGCAAAGGTTTTGACGAGCCGATGCGGGTCTGTCTACGTTTGATAGACTTTGAAGCCATGGCATGCTATATGGCACAGGTCCCTATATGTCCGGCTTAGCCTTTGCTCACCATCTTTTGGCTTGGTCCCTATATGTTCGGCTTAGCCTTTGCTCACCATCTTTTGGCTGCCAAGTTACAAGTCACTTTTCTTTGTTTGAGAAGTGTTGGGCGCGGGGTGTTGGGAGGATCTATGTGGGTTGAAGGGTGGCCTGATTTGTCCCTGGAAAGGCGCTGACGCAGTTTGTGAACCACTACCTCTCCCAGCATGCAGTAGAGCTCGGGCTACTCGGCACGCGAATGGACAAATTGTTCAGTTTGTCGATTCCACAGCTCTGGGTGGTTCTCAGAATAGGATATGGACATGGGCTCTGTTATTGTGTTGCTTCCCTCTAAGGCAACCCCAGCAAGTTGGAGCAACTGCAAACCACACCCGCCTAGTGAATCGTAATGAGACTACCGTTACCCTCAAACGCGTTTGGTGGATGTATGCAAATCCCCCATGTGAGCAACTCTAAAAACAATCTTTACATCCCAAGCAAGAGTTGTGTCAGAACAAGGCCCCGCGTAAGCGAAAACCTGCACGGCGTAAGCCGTCTTAAGCACTTCTTGTGGAAACATGCTGTGTAAGCACCCGCGTAAGCTCTTTTTCGTGATTGTTTGGTAAGCTTTGTAAGCATGTTCGGAAGAGTTGTTTCACACATGGGCTTGTGTGTTTATTGGCGGCTTGTGCTGTTTCAACCTAGCCGAGCTTGGCCTTGCCCGGGGACTTTGGCTGTAGGAGGACGTCTCAGACCGCATGTGCGCACCATGAGAAAACAAAGCCAGCAAAACTTTGATTGGAAGCTCTTGGGTGAATTCACGGGTTTAGGAAAGCTAAAGGGGCTCGGGCGCGCAAGCTCGCGTAGGCAGGCGCGTAAGGTTCGCGTAAGGTTCGCGTAAGCTCGCCTAGCTCGGCTGTCCGCTAGCCCTCGCCACGGATGCCCCCGCCGCATAAGCCAGTGAAACTCGTGAGGGTAGGTCTTCATCATGTTCTTTCTCATAATCATCCATGTCATTTTGAACAGTGCTGGCGGCTGCATGGGAAAAGGAACCCGCGTAAGCATTTCTTGCGGGAAACGCTCAATTCGCCGACGCGTATTGATAAGGGATGCGTATGTTGAACATGCGCGCTGTCTGCCGCGCAAGCTAAAGCATGGGTCACGTAAGGAAAGCGCAAGCTCGCGCGTAAGCAACCTGATGCGACATCGGGACTCATGGAAGGCTTTTAGAGTCGCTTATGTAATGCAGCCTCGGGCCAGGCTGATGCGCAAAGGGAGCTCTTTCTCCTCAAAACGGGTAGGGGCACCCTTGAGTCGGTCCGAAAAGGGCACCCTCCAGAGCTGCGCGCCCTCCTGTGTTTCGGGGGCACTGAGAGCCTGCCTTCTCCAAATGTTGTTTTTCTTTTTTTCTCCGGTGTCCTTTAATCGTCGCAGAAACGGATACCGTTTGCTCAGAAGGCGATTGGGAATCCACCTTGATATTTGTTTCTTTGCAACAGCAAGATATCATACACATGGCTCTTCGCACTGGTATTTGTATACGATTAATATGCATATCTTTGTCTAGAGAGAGGGAGGCTGTTGTTGTTCTTTTACAGAGGTAGATATGTTATACAGTTATACATGTCTCAGTGTCTCGCAGTGAACTGGACAAATCGAGAAGATAGCCCATGGGTGACTTTGGGTTTTTGGCAGATCTCCCCTTGAACTCCCGTGGATTAGAAGCCTCAGAATAATCCCCTACTCAGACTGAGAACTTAGTCGGGGTGCAAAACCGAAGACTGTAAAAAACTACGAAACCGTTTGTGAAAATGACCCACGCCTGCAAGTTCATTTGTTGATAATTCAGTTCCCTCAATCGGCAAACCCAACTGTGAGACTGTGAGCAACCATGGCTGGCAAGTGAGTTGTTTCAGCTGACCCGTTGTTTGGAGCATTTTGTTGGGACCTCTTTTGACATCATGAATTGTTCTGATTTGCCCAGATACATTAGACCAATATGAAACAGAATCTGAAACCTATCAGATGTTTCGTTGCCATGTTGTTTTGTTTCATGTTGCTCATCTGCTGACACCCTAACTTTGGTGCATGTTGCTTGGATTTTAACTTTTGCCAACTAATGGGTTCAATTAAACCACTAAAAGTTAAAAACTTTTAGCAGGGGAGCAGAAAGCAACCGAGCTAATTTGTTTTTTGTTGTTGTGTGCCTCAGATGTGGGTCAAGGCCGGGTCTTCTCCTTTTAGCTGTACAGCCCCGAAAAGCTCAGGAAGCAGCCTTCCGTGAATACAGCGGCGAATCTCTTCAAGGTCATGGCCTACAACAACAAGGAGCTCGGGTTGCGTTTGTGAAGGGTTGCGTTTTTCAACAAGTTGGAGGGTCGGTCAAATTCAGGACCAGCCAAGATGATCTAATCAAGTCTTGGAAGGACACCCTGTCCACCAGTGAAACCGGCACTGGTCTCTCAAACTGGGATGCAGGTCTGAAGCAAAACCTCAAAACAGCCACCAAAACCAGGTCTGTTGACGAAACACATGCACCAAGGTCGCTGTGTAAAGGCATGACTGCATGTGATTTTCTCTCTTTATACTGTTGCCTCTTGTTCTCTCTTGTTCTCTCTTGTTCTCTCTTGTATTCTCTCTCTCTCTCTCAAATCCAAGATAAATTCACCTGTTGGACGGTTGACTAGAAGTAGACCAACACTGGCATGCGTAAGGTCGGCTTGGATAGTGATATATTCCATCCATCTATCCATCCGTCCATCCGTCCATCCATCCATCCATCCATCCATCCATTCGGTCATCCAGTCATCCAATGCATCTACCTCGGATCTCTCGATGTCGCTCTCTCTCTCTCTCACTCACTCTCTCTGACTCTCTCTGACTCTCTCTCCAAATAAGTATATATATATATATATATTTATGCAACATAGACTTGTACATGGTATGGTCAGCTTGCTCAAAGGGGTCATGACCTTTTCTTTCGGAAAAATAATCAAGAGATCGCCCTTCAGATTAAGGAGGCAACCGTATCTGCTTCAAATTATCTAAACTTTCAAACTGACAATTGTTGTTCTTTAGTAACGTTAACTAGAACCAACCTGAATGTTTATCACTTTTCCATGGGTTTCATCCCGGACAAACCATTCCGTTACCCGAATTCGGCCGCAGGACCGCCTGATGGCTGGCTTGATCATCGCTGGCTACGATGAGAAGAGGGGAGGGCAGGCGCGAGACTTCTGGTCAGGGGCAGGAAACTCCAAACCCTCTAAGACACGAGCACGGGCGGGTGTGTTCCTTCTAGGGTCCCTTCGCAGGTTGATTTTGTTTTGTTTTTTAAGCAGCCAAGACGAAAAGCACCATTGCGATCTCACCATTTGACCAACAAAACATGAAGGAGAGTCCACATCCATAGAGGGCCGTGTGTAATGCAATGTCCGTCGCATGGAGAAACATGGCTGGAGCCAGCAGAAAGTTTCTGATGTTTGCCCTTGCCATCGGGCACTTTCGATTCGTGTTGTTTCTTCAAGTGAAGTGGCAAAAACAACCAATGCTGTCCGTTAGGGAGTGTCATATTTGAGTGGTTGAACCTTTAACGTTTGACCCCCCCTATTCCAAACAATGAACCCATCCACAATTGTCAGTTTGTCAACAATTGGGTGTTGGCGCCTGTGTAGACTTGGAAACAATGACACCTTGCGCCAGGTTTTCACGCGAGGGCCAGAAAGCAACTCTTGAAAGGGAGCTGGAATCTCCACCGGTCGATTGGACCAGGTCAGGGGCATGCATAGGCCTGGGGGGGTTGGTCTGCCATGCCGACAACCTGCGCACTACAAGGGGACCTATCCACGTGGTAAATTGGACTGTGACAGTATGCCTGCACAGCCGAGCTCGCAAGCATTAGAGGGGAGTATCCGAATAACACCTTCTGAAAATGCCAGAGTTTGAGTGAGTTTGACATAAGTGGGGTACCCCGTTTGCTTCTTTACCATGAGTTTTGGGGTAGACCCCCTTTACCAGGTTTTGATTGCTATCGGGAGGTTTGGAGTCCTAAGAAACCTACAGAACATACAGGATACCAGATGTTGATTCTGCCTCATGGAGGCGTCTCAAAGTGCTGGACCCCTTTTTGGGATGGTTATAAAGGGACGGCAAAAGAAATCAGTGGTTTTCATTATGACTCATTACATTTTGCAATATGTTGACTTCAACAGAAACCACAACAAAGCAAATGGTTGGGGTCTGCTATTCTGAGAAACCTCCATATTGGTTGGGTATGGGTGCACAAAATCCAAGGGACCTCAATTGCTTCCTACAACCTGGGGTTTGGGACTGAGGCGTATTTTTGGAGCCACTGATCGCTATGGGTTTCAGGTGTACTCCATCCCCCTGGGCGGCGCTCGTGTGCGAGTCCCCTGGGCCTGTGACGGCAGCGGGTCTTCCTACATCAAGGGCTTCATCGAGAATCACTACCGACCCGGCGCCACGGCTCTTCAGCACAGCTCAGTGAAAACGGTCCCATAGCGTGTTGCCTGTTTTTCTGGAGTCTCCCAAACGATGGTTGTTTTTTTGGTAGAGAAAATATGCAGCAGAATCTGAAAGTAGCATGCTCAGTGTGTTTCAGATGCGGGCCGAGTTTTGATGGGTTTAATCATCACCCACTTTGGCCCTCTTCAGTTGAGTGGTCCTTGGTAGGGGTGACGGTCTATGGGGAAAGAAGAACAGTGAACTCTGTCGGTGGCACCAACTTGTTTTCCCTTTTTGCTTGGTGGGTTCCTCCCTTATCATATTTATCTCGGTCCACCGGATGCTCAAGGAAAACACACCCACGCCCCTGAAGCATTGAAGTCTTTCCAGGTGCGGTATCGGGTTTTCGATGCCTCCGGGCTCTTGAGGACCCCTGGATGAGATAAGGCATGTTGGACCCCCCCCAAACGTGCGGGTCAATGTCCCTAGATTGAGTCCCTTCCGCCAAACCTGCAACCTGATTGAAGGACCCAGCTTCTCCACATGTTCAGGTGCCTCAAAAGCTGTTTTTTGCCTTTGTGTTCAACTTTTCCTGTACACAACCCCCAACAAGGATGAGCTTCAAGACACAGCAGCCCCGCCTTTTCGGCCGAATCCCCATCCCTCCCAGGTATGTCCAAGGCGGAGGCCTTGGAGCGACGGCCTTGGAGATGATTGGGAGGGTCCAAACTGGGTTTGGGTTAGGTTGGGTTGGGTTGGGTTGGGCTGGTTAGTCAAAAAGCTCTTGAAGATGAATTTAACGTAGGTAGAAAAGGAAAGTGTTTGAGTTCGAGCGTTTTCCACATTCAAGTCAAGGCAAT